GTGCAGTGCAGTGCAGTGCATCACAGTGGAAAATAATATTGCTCTGTCGGGGACTACACCATTGGTCTGGCGTTTCTTGTGGATTTGTGGTGGAGCTCGGTGGGTGCCGCGCCATCTCGCATCGTGAACGATACAACGACATGCGTACCTCATCGTACCGCACAGCGAAGCAGATACGCACAAACCACTCTACAATGCTGGATGCAATGGATGGATGGTTTTCAGACCTGCCGACACGACGGAAACGAGGAGGGCATGCACAGCGCAATGCAACACAGTACAACACAAAAGAAAACAATTCAATTCAATACAATACAACACAGAACAACACAGAACAGAATAGCACAGAACAAAACAGAATAGCACAACCAGACCGTCTGGATAGATCATACGCCAACAGCAGCAGCGACCAAATAATAGTCTAGTTATCCGTTTCGGTACAGATTGATTGCAATGCGGGCGAACGCATCGCGTCACGTCACGTCTTGCCTAGTCGCTTCCATCGCCTCATTCTTATTAAACTACACGAGATAGTCATGGCGACAGAGTAGCAGCAAGCCAATTCACGATAGAACAGGTTTCTATTACAGTAGTATTTTAAACATAAAAACGCAAATTGTTTCGCGGGGCATTCGAGTGCGTTCTGCCGTGCTGTCGTTGCCGGGACAGCTGCTGGTCGGCTGCCCTTTCGGCCCTATGGATGCCGCTGCCTAGCACGTCTCGGATACAACAAAGGCGTCGCTGACGGCAAAGGCAATGTACGGCTGCGCCGAGTTTCTTGCAATGATTGCGACGTAGGTTCCCACCTGCAAAGGCCACTGGCCGTTTCCGGCGTGGATGGTACCGAGGGGAATGACCTGCGAGGTCACGGGCTCCCGGCAATTTCGCGTGCCGCACGCCCACGACCAAATGTCGGGGTTGGTCAGGTCCATGCTGTTGAAGGTTTCGTCCAGGCGGTACAGACCCACCCAGTCGTCCCGGTCGGCCTGGCAATTCGTCAGAGAAACCGTAATCTCCTCCGCCTGCGTGTAACAGTACTTGGAAACCTTCATTTCGTTTCCGGTGCAAGCGGTGGGAGACGCCGACGGTTCCCCCGTGGTCGGGGATTCGGTGGGTTCCTTGGTGGTCGGGGACAGAGTCGGCGAGGCCGTGGGGGGTTCCGTTCCGGACGGCTGCGGCGTGAATCGCACAATCATGCTCGTCGGATGGACGGTCGGCGAGACGGTCGGAACCCCCGTCGGGGGAAGGGTCGGAGAAAGGGTGGGAGCCTCGGTTGCGGAGCATTCCGTGCAGCATTCGCAGCCCTGCTTGTCGCAATCGACGACGAGGACGTCCACGCCCTTGAGCTTGCAAACATCCTTGGGCAAAGCTCCGGTCAGGTTGTTGTTTCCAAGGGTCAACACTTTCAGGTTGTCCATGTTCCCGAGGCCATCGGGAATCCATCCGGTGAGATTGTTGTTGCTCAGGGCCAGTTTCTCTGAAAGCAGATAGATAGAGAGAGAGAGAGAGAGAGAGAGAGAGACGGGGAAACAGACAGGCATTGAGCGATCGGAACGAACAATTGAGAAGGCAGCACACCGGCATAGAAACGAATAGGGTTGCCTTGCGTACCAAGTGCCTCCAAGTTTCCGATTTCCCACGGGATGTCTCCCGACAAATTGTTGAAATCCAAATAGATTTCGGCTAACGAGAGGATTGGTTCGAAACGTCATTGAGAAATGGCACAACGCAAGAAATGAGAACGAGAGGAATTTGTGACTCCGACACACGAACACAAAGTAGACAAAACTTACTCAGTGTTTCCACATCCACAATGCTGTACGGTATCTTTCCCGTCAATTSATTGTCCGCAAGATCCAGGATTTCTAGACAAAGGAGCGAGGGACAAAGGATTCGTGTCAGAAAGCAGATKTKCCGGYACAAGAACMGTGTGCCGAAGCATCCAGAAACGGGGCACCAAAACAGATGGATCCGAAGAAACGCATCGACGTACCAAGATCGGGAATGTTGCCGAAATCCATATTCAGGCCACCGACGAGGTTGTTTCGTCGAAGCCGCAGGGTCTCTGTTCCAGAAAACAAAGGGGGGAGGGGGGGGCAAGTGCAGTGCAGTGCAGTGCAGTGCAGCGAAACAAGAGTTCGGTGAGCTAGAGCATATTGGAGGTAAAGCAAGGGTTCCAAAGCAGCAAACGGTTTTTGTTCCACGATCGGAATGGTGCGGTGCGGTGATCGATCCCAACCTACCGAGAAACGAGAGATCTTCGAATTCTTTCGGGATCGTTCCCACCAAATCGTTCCCTTCTAGATTGAGATGGACTGTGGATCGAGTTCAATCGSATTTGGCAAATGGCAGGGGTTAGACAGAGCAGGAGCTCAAGAACGAGGGCAAGCGCCAACTCCAGTCTCCATCGAATTCTCGACATCGCCTCGGCGGCTGTRMGGTACCGTRYTCTACTCACCTAGAGAACTCGAGAGAAGCGCCAGTTCCGTGGGCAGGGTCCCCCCCAGGACCTGGTCCCGGATGTCAATGGTCTCGTATATGCCTTGCTGGTCGCAGGGAGATTCTTTCTTTCCGTTGTTTTTGGTCGAGCTGCTGAACCACGTGCACTCGTCCGTGTAGGTCTTCCAGCCCGCCAGCGAGGGGCTCCCGTCGCCGACGCCGTCGAGGGACTGTGAGAGGACCGCCAGCGTCCACCGCTGGACGAGCCTGTCCTCCGAATAGGACCCGTAGGCCGGGTCCTCGGAGAGCCACCGGGTCGCCTCGTACTGAATCGATTCGGGCGCCTTGGTGACGGCCCTGGCGTTGCGGATCCCCCCGCGGACCTGCAGCAGGTCCAGCAGGTCCTCGAAGCGGAGCCCGAAGAGGGGATTGGTTGTGGGGCTAGTGGTGGGGCTGGCGGTGGGAAGGGGGGACCCCGTGGTGGCTTCCGGGGCAGCAGCACCGTCCCCCGCCTGCTCCTGCTCCTCCTGGGCGTCTCCAAAGGTTCCGCTGGGTTCTTCGTCGTCTTGCGTCGGAGAGCCCGCCCCGGTGGCACTGGTGGCACTCGTTCCGCTGGGCGTCCCCGCGTCGAGGTCCGGCCAAAAGTCGAGGATGCTCTCCGATTCGGCCTCGGCAAAGGCCGTCGCCGCGCCCGGGGAGGCCTCCCCCCCCCGCATGCCCGAGAGGGCCACCGACAGGGCCACGATCGAGACCAGCAGGATGAGGGCCAGCACCGCGGCGACGACGTACACGCGCCTCGACCGGAAAAACGAAGAATTCGGTTTGGATCTCGATCCGGATCTGGATTTCGATTTGCCGGAAAAGGACTCGTCCCCGGTCCGGGACGACCGGTGGCTCCCGGCCGGGACACGGATCATGCCCGGCGGGGTTTCCGGCGCCGTGTCGCCGCTGCCGTCGTCGCTGGCGCCGCTCTSGGCGTTTCCGGTTCCGCTTGCCTTTGCCCTCGTGGGTTTTTTCTTCTTTTCGGGCGTGGTGTATTCCTGGAAGAGGCGGATGCGGGGCTTGGAATCGTTCCGGGAACCGTTGCCGGTGAAAAAGGCCTTGGTGGCCTCGTGGACCGTGTCGTTGGCGATCGTGCTAATGTCGTCCTCCTCGACGCCCACGATCGACAGGGTTTCGCTCGGGTTGGGTGGCACGTTGTCCGACGCCGAACCGCCAGTCGCTTGCTGCTGCTGCTGCTGCTGCGGGTCCAGGACGGCCTCGATGCTCTCGTCCCGTTCGTAGCTGCTGCTGTCGCCGGCATAGGCCGATTCGTTCCGGTGCCGGTGGATGCTTTCGCTGCCCTGGTTCTGGTTCATGACGCTCGCGAGTGTCTGTCCGCCGAGGATGCTGTCCGTGTCCGTGCCGTCGTGGACCCTCCCCATTTCGTTGTCCTGCATCATCATCTTGAAGTAGTTTGTTTCGGGGGACGCGCTCTCGGCGTCCGTGTCGAAGGACTTTCTTGTCTCGGAGCCGTCCATTGTGTTGGTTGCAGACGAGTGGACGAGTCTGGTGCGGTGCGGTGCGTTGCTGCACTTTTGTGATTTAGTTTGGTGGCTTAGTGTTCTTGTTGCTGGTATTGGCGTTGGTGTTGGTGGTCTCAATCGTTGTCGAAAGAATCGACGTTTTGTTCCTACTGGATGGGTGTTCCTCGAAAAGGCAGACAAAGAGGAACCAAAGGGTGCTTTTTGCGGTATGTTCACACGCTCTAGTTTGTTTTTGTTCTATGCATCGAGCACGAACCGCATTATGTGGAGTAAGGGACGCCGTGCCCGTGTCTTGTGCTTCGTGCCTCGTGCCTCGTCGTGGAAACCCCCACCAGGAACGGAAAACGAGCCATCGGTCGTGCGTTCGTGTGACATTGGATGGTTCGGTAGGTTTTCCTCCCTGGGCTGACTGAGGATTTAAGATAATTTTTGTTTTGTGACACGGAAATGGCGCGACCGGCGTCCTACCGGAACAACACGCCACCGTTCAGTTCGAAATTCGGCCACACTTTCGTGAATTTTTTTGAGGTTGTAGCGGGAACGATGAGCTCCGACGATAATTTCCCGGCTACGAGGGTTCTGTACGCAGGTTCCTGTAGCAAACMAGGAACTCCACAAACGCGCATTAGGTAAATCGCGCGGTTATACGTTCGGCCAAAAGAAAGATCGTTGGGAGCATTGGAACACACGACCGTTAGACTTCTAACGGTACAGAAGTTGTCCTACCCATTTGATATCGTATGTATTACTTATAGATACTATACATATATCGAAACCGCTACGAAATGAAAAGAAAGTCTGTCCTTTTGACCCCCAGTTACAGTACGGAACATGCTCACAGAACACGACAGAAAAATCCCACATCACAATTCGTCAACGAAAAATCACATGAAAAAATATCGCAAAACAAAACAAAAACCATCAACAGGGAACAAACGATCTCTGCCGCAGTTGATCGAATACGAAAAAGGCCTCTCCGCATTGCGCGTTCTTCCTACATCAGGCGAGAGGGACAGACAACGCACTCAAGAACGGTAACGGTTCGATCCAACAACAAGCAATAGAAGACGGTTGATAGCCACAAGACATCCTTCGGTCGATTTCTCTCGGCGTGTGCGTGTGTGCCTGCATGCAATGGAACAACAACAGGAACAACAACAGGAACACCGTCGTCTTGGTTGTGATCCGTCCCCGTCCATCGCAGACCAAGGGATGAAGAGCACGACGCACCGAACGCGCTTGCTTCCGTTTTGTTCGAGCACCGCGAACGCAACGGCGGAGCACGACAAGAACGATGCTTGCAGAGAGAAGAAAGACGGTGCTTGGACAAGCCGTCCACGCGACAACCATCCCTCCCGGGTCTCTCGGCGGAGACGGCGGAGTTGGACGAAGGAAGAAAGAAACGCGCGATGTTCCACCAGAGGGCGTCGCCGGCTTTTGTTATGCGAGGGTCTCTTCTCCGAGAGATTCAGCCGCGGTTTCGTTTTGGTAGCGGTCGTCTTGTTGCTCTTGCACGAAAGAAAACCATTGGGAACCATGCCATGGTGCAAGGACACATCGAACGCCGGTGCCTCGATCCATGGAGCTGGCCTTTTGTTTGTTCGGTCCTTTACCTCGCCGCAACGGTCGTCTCGGGCGCACCAGAGCCGCCAACACACCATCACCATTTCATCGGATCGCCTGGCGACCACAAGGATACGGGGGTACTTGTACAACGGTGCTTTTACCTTCTCTTGCCGGAGCACAAGCGGCAACAATGGCAACCCCAGAGAGGACCCAAACACGCGGCTGTGCTGGAAGAGGGGGAAACGGCAACGATTGCAAAGAATTCACCACCATCGCCAGCGGTGTTCGACCCTGTCGGCCACGGTAGAACGAAACGGCTCGGA